CAGTATGTTCGATCGCATGATTTTACGAGTAAAATTCGCTTGAAAAAAAAACTTGCGAAGATCGCGCATTCGCGTTGTATTAGGACGACGCCTTAATGCTATTGCCAGTCGCTGTTGGAGAAAAATTGCGTATTCTAACAACTGTCTTAACTTAAAAAATTTGGCATTTTGTAGTTGTTTTGCTGTCGAGTTTTAGTATTTCCTATAGTATTATAATGTTTGTTTTAGTTGGATTTTGTCCCTTTTTAATATGTATTATGTATGTATTAATTACTTTAAACCCCTTCCACATACTATGGCCACAGCACGTTTATTTTAAGATTTTTCATTTTTCTAAGTTTTCACCTAATCTTGATTTTGTCAATTCTTGTTAGTTATGTGGCATTTTAAATTCATTCATTTGTTTCATTTTAAAAATAAAACTCTAATTTCTCTTGTATCGTGATGGTGTTTTACAGACATATATGGCACATTAACACACCCAGAACCAGAATAAATATTTGTATTCTGTACAAACACTTGTCTTAAGGGAGAATCGAGCTCGTCACAGGCAGTGCGTGTGGCAACGTTTTGACATTGTCCTACTGAGCCAACTGCAGTCCAATAATTGTAAATTATGATAAATAAAAGCAAATGTAATCCGCATGGTCCACAATTTCGTTGTTATATACCTAACTGGTTTCAACTTGTTGTGATTTACAAGTTGTAGCAAATATCCGCCGGCCAAATATTCGGCGCTCCAGCCTGGAGTCTTGTCGGATATAATTGGAATTCGGTATCCAGTAGAATCACTATCAGCTTCTATTTTCAATCCCCTCATAACTCAAAAACTGTAAGACTTCGGACTTGTAATTTTTCTCACCATACAAGTTCACTTCATTGCCTATTAGTCCATATTCCATGAATAAACCTGTTGTAGTCTAAGGGTTTGAAAATTGATATTTTAATCAGTCAGGGACTAAATGACTAGAGAGAGGTATTATAGGAATAAACAATACAGTAGCCTTTTACGAAACTCGTACGTCTAAATAGAGTGATGGATTTTTTTTAAGTCGTCAGCACACAGCAAGTGCCTCGTTAGATTAACATTAAGTATATGAGACTGACGTAAATAATTTCATAATTAACAAATTAAAAATCTAGCACTGTTAACGGATCACTGTTATAAACGCCATGATATGCCTAATGTTTTAATTGTAAGGTTTCGACAGGATTTTTGTTCTGGGAAAAGGCAAGGAAAAATGCAATAAATACATTCGAATTCTGCATTGAAATGTCAATATATATATTTTTAATATTCATAAATTCAATATACATCATAATATCAAGTAAAATGAATTACTATAATTTATATAGGCAATATTTTAACACATTTTAATCTATGGGTAAGTTTAACAATCTAGAGTGCTTAGTAACAAGTCGGCCTCGGCTCGCGAGGTCCGGGGACCGCGCACCAAATATGCAACAAACTCGCAATGGCATTAGGAATTCACGTTGGCTTAACATTATTACTAAAATCTACACGTTTAAAAGGAAGAAATACTCTGCAATATCTATATTGCACATATAACTAAACTTTGCCATAGTACATAATGCCGTTAAATTTAAAAAATAAACTTAGTATCTTTTACATAGGTAATAAAATTCATTCGAAAGCCTTAAAATTATTTTTGGCACGTAACTTAAAAACTAAACTACAAACGATGACGGGAGATTTATATTATACAGGAGTCCACGTCTTATTAATTAACGTAATTATTCTTTGGTTTATCTAGCCCACCGGTAATTTGGAAGTCACTTACAATAAAATTATAATAAAATATGAAATAGTTCAAACAGACCTAATTTGATTATAATTAATTATAGGTAGAGATAAGTTTAAATTTTTAATTATTGTAACACTTTAGTTGACATATTCTGTACTGCGGAATACTGATACGAACCTACTTCACAGACGATGTCAGGTGCCTACTCTAGTATGCTTCACACAAAATACTGTGTTGTTGAACTCTAAAGTTTTATGTGTTTAAATGAGAATGTATTATATAATATATGCAATTTTTGCAATAATTTACGTAATTCGTTGCTTAGAAACCTTTAAAATTAATTTTAACTACTTACAATTACAAAATATAGAAATAATCGTTAGGTATCTCTTAAAATGTATTTGCTTAGGAACTTTCTGTTCTAATATACTGCAAGAGTAATTTTATATGAGAATGAGCTGCACTTCTGTACAATTAATTTATTCTATTAATTGGTGATGCCATATCAATGACATTCAATTTAAAATATAATAATCTTACGCCTATTTAGGGTGCGTTAATGCGGCATGTGGCGTAGGTACGGCATGCTAATTGCTAAAGCGACCGCCAATCAGGACGTTGAAGGTGGAAACTCACTTGTAAAATACGATCCTTTTTAATAAGACACGCCGCGTGTTTACTCATATTAAATCCTTATATTTTGTATTCTTATATGCCTCGTTATATGTTGTAATGCAAATATAAAATATGCATCCTTATAATACATACTTATTTTGTATTACGTTAGGCGAGTTGATAGAAATGGATTTGGTATAAGTAAATACACACACCCCGAACAAACCAGACATTTTCCAAACTGATTAATCTTTTTTTCGTGCCGTAAAGCAGTGACAAGTGTTCAGAAACTACATCAATGAATTTAATACTTTTTTAAATTCAATGAATTGCCTACGATCACTTGTAGCATATACTACAAAAAAACTTCTCCTTCGCAATTTTTATAAGGTATGGGTTTAAAGTAGGCAAATATTTTATTAAAACTTTACAAAGATTATATTTGACAGACTATAAACTTTGCTAAACTTTATTTCCAATTTCCATGTGCCATCATTTTTGTTGTCATTCCTAATCAGTAAGTACTTTCTGAAATATATGCTAAAAGTGATAAAATGAAACGTCGATAAAAATTAAGTACATTAAACAATAAAATGAAAATTTTGCATGGACATTCCGCTTAAAGTCACAGATAATATATCATATCAAATAATATTTATTTTTACAGCAACAATCACAAAATGGAAAATATTAATTTTAATTATTTTAAGTTAAAATGTATCCTATTGCATTTAATAAAGAGATGCCCATTATTGTCTCATTGTTCATTGTGACGGGCTGCAGCATTAAGGTATGATGCCACAGATTAGGTATTATTACATACTATGTAAAATAGATATTACAAGCAATCATATTTACAAATAAACTCCTATGATATTTACAATAACTAATATGTACAACAATTAATAGATGCTAATCTTTGGACTAATCGAAAGAGTTTTTTAAACACAGCAGAGATCCCATAGGAGTACCTATTATGGAATGCTTTTTAAACTTAAGTAAGATTGTATCTATCTAACCTCTTATTATAAAATTACGAGAAGCTTATTTCGTAAGATTTAAATGTTTAAATAACAAAGGATAAATTTTGAATACATAAAAATATGCAGGAAGTTTTTTTTTCAACGTTTGAAATACTGAATTCCAATTCAAAAGTTATGTACTTTTGTACGTATTTTGTTATATTATATTCATTATTAGTAGTTATTAAGAACAGCAACATTACAACTAGAATATTGTCATTGTGACAAACTTGCTGTTCTACACGTATTTTAATGCTGTAACTACACCATCATCCAACCATCCAACTTCAAACGATCGCCAGAAAACAAGCAAACTCGTTCAAACTGCCTCGTAATAGACGTTGCAAAATTATAAAAAAAAGTCTGGAGTTACTGAAGAATAACTGAGTGGAGGAGGCTATATAGGCTAATCACACTATGCGTAAGGATCATATTAGTCTGTGGTGACACTCCTCTGTTGGTAACTTATCGATGAGCGAAAGCGGCCAAACCAACCAATGCGCCCGAACCATTCACCTGCACATCGATGTTGGACGATACGTGTAGAACAGGCATTACTTTATATTGTTATCAATAAACGACCGTTCGTCTAAGTGCACGTGTGTTTTCACAATCGGAAAAACCTAACGAAAAATAAACAGTATAAAAAGCCGGTGATAATAGGACATTAATACAAAAATAAGACGTATTGAGTATTATGCTACAGGTACTGGCCTTTGGGTTACAGTACATTATACTAAACTAATAATCGGCTAAATATTAAAACCTGTAATAATTTTTTGGCACTTGCCATGGCACATATCTTTGGTATTATTTGGCACAATCATTACAATAATAAATAAAGGATTCGAGTAATGTACTAACATAGAAAAATATTATGTCATTGAGCATTGACTTAATAAACGAAATACCGGGCGATGAATACTTATTTATTATATTATGCATTCAAGTTTATTCTGCCCTATCAAGGGTAACACATGTGCTTATCCGCTGCAGAATGGAAAACACCATAGTAGGTAAAATAATTTGCAGTTAACAGAGCTATACATTTATACCTTAATTAGTAAAAAAAAAAATATTTACGCACTTCTTGAGTAGGTACAAGTCACGGCACGTAAGTCTAGCGCTGAGAGAAACGGGGAGGGGATAGCTGCGCATGGGTACTGTCACGCACGAATTGAATTGCACGAATGCGACTGGAGAGCCAATCAGCGCGTGCGAACGACACGCACAAGCCGCTACCGCCGCTACCGCTGACTACCCCATTATATTTTATTTTTGACTTATGCGCAATAACGGTCATCGCTAGACTTTCGTGCCGCTACTTATATTGCTATACTATACCGATTTCAAATAATTTGTATATTTGCTGCCGTAAGTGTAAACTGAAAATACACTTGATTGTACATAACCCATATTGACATTGCATTGGACGCAGTCAATTTTCGTAAGGATACCTATGCTAATCTTTGTCATATTAGTAATTTATTTTAAAGCCGTAAATAAGTTAAATAAAAAAAAAACTATTTGTTGAATACGTGAGAAGAAAAATTCTCAGGCTGCAACGGACTTGGAAATATTATGGTCGGGTAGCAACCTAATCTCTGTAGGGCTTGCAAATGGCAAATCTGTGGTTCATGTGCTGGCTGTAGGAGCCGGAGTGCGAAAATTTCTTGAGACATTTGCAGCATTGGAAGGGCTTCTCTCCTGTATGCAGCCGCTTGTGCTCCGTTAAATGGTGTTTGTGCTTGAAAGCCTTAGGACACTCCTCACATTTGTATGGACGTTGACCTGCAAAATTCAAGTTTATTCAATATTAAAAAATTAACTGTTTATATTCATCTTGTGTGGTACTAATTAAAAATATAAAAAAATAAAGAAAACCTTCAGGGTTTCTACATGAAATGTTAATTAATTCACTTTAGATATATTGATATATTTTAGTGGCTGGCGAAGTATATGGCAGTCCTCCATTAGATGAAGTGACCACCAGGTAAGACATGCAGGAAGTCGATGGATGCAGATGGCTTTGGACCGTGCTTTGTGGCATTCCTTGGGGGATGACTATGTTCAGCAGTGGACTTGTGAAAGACTGTAATATTGACGATGTTTTTTTTATAGGATAGCGTGACATACGAGCATACACAGTCCACCTGATGGTAAGTGGTTGCTGTGGCCCATAGACATCTTCATCTATCCTCAATAAAGAATCAAAATGCAGATGCGTTGTCACCCGTGACGACTAAGATGGAATACCTCTTTTCCAATAAAAAGGGTCTCCGGTTCTCTAGACTCACCATACGAAACACAGCTGCATTAAGCTGCTATATTACGTTGGTATTCTGTGAGAGCGTGGTCCTTCCCCGGTCGAGCCGATCCATTCGTGCTACAACTATACTACAAATTTAGATGCAACATGGCTTTACCACGTAAAATGTGATGGTGTATTGAAGTAATATCGTGACATTTTACTAAAAACTTTCTTAAATGGTACTAATCTTGAGCGTCTCCAAAAGCGAAAGCAAAACCACCTAGCCATCATACACCATAAAAAGAGTATAAAAGAAATTTAAAACATTAGTGTACTGACCTGAATGTTCATATTTGTGCCTGGCCAATGAACTTTGCTTTACAAACGTTTTATCACATTGATTGCAAACGAATTGTCCTTCACCCTCCTTTAGTTCTGATTTTAATTTACTCTTCTTAATTAGTGAAGCATCATCCTCAAATTCGTTAGGAGGTTGCATATCATCCCATGCTGGACGATCGTAGCATGGACTCAATCCTTGTCGATTAGGATCTGCTGCCATATGCATGTTAAGAATCGGAGATCTCGCTTTTGACATATCGTTGTATTGAAGAAGCTTATCCATTGGCATAACAGGATTAATGGGAAGTTTTTGAGATAGTGGCCGTTTTTGACCACTAATTGTTTCACCTGGTGATGGTGAAAGTCTAAAATCAGTGAATGAAGATGAGGAGCAATTGGAATGTGAATACGTATTTACATGAGGGCGTTGTGGTGTTGTACTACGCGATGACTTTTGACTTAGATTCACTGCTTCCTCGGAATCGGAATGTGTGACAGAAATGCTGCATGGTGGTGATGGAGATGGACTAGACGTAACAGATAAGCTAGACTTCTTGGTTGATAAGTCTAATGGTTGATCTGAAACTGCTACGGACTGAGTCATTCTTCTTACTCTAGCTCTGTTGTTTTGAAACCACACTTGGACAACTCTGTTATCCAGTCCAATTTGCTGTGCAATTTTCTTAAATTCTTCGCGGTTTGGTCGCGGGTTTATAGCATAATGTTCTTTTAAAATTAATTGCTGTTCTTCACTTAACGCAGTTCGTACTCGAATTTTTCTGTCCGTGTCATGAATAGACATCTTATCATCGCGATCTTCTTTAGAAAAATCCTCGTCTTCACTAGCGCTCACTCCGCTTTGCATAGATGCTCTCATTTCAGATTCTAATCTATTAAGAGCTACGGTTTCAGCCACTTGAGCAGCTAGACCTTCATGTTTTCTGAATAGATTTCCGCAAACTAATTTTTCATGCTCTATTAAATCATTTTTGTATTTAAATGTCAAATTACATTTAACACATGTGTGGTCGTCCTCAGGCTCATTTTTTACTAGGGTTTGTGGTGTAGGTGGTGATTCAATGCTTGGATAAATCCCCCCCGAAGCGGGAGTAAGGTTTTCATTATTTGTTTTAAAAAAGTGCTTTGTAACAGATGCACCTAAGGATTTCAACATTTTATCGAAATTCGGATCATTATTATCCGCTTCACTGTTGTTATTTAAAGGGACGGATTCGAGGTTACGAGATTGCGGTCGAACTTCACTTTCTCGGTCGTCTTGCTCTTTTTTGACAGTCAGAGTTTCATCATCTTCAATATCCATCACCAGCTCTGTGCTGCATTCGGATCGTTTGTCTTCGTCCTCTATAACTTCTTCTATCAAATCTTCAGGGTCTCCAGTTCTAGGGCTGCTTTGTTTTGGACTAATTATATTCTCTACTTTTCTTTGATGATACTGTGTTGAAGCTATTTGCTCAAACAGTTGACTTAGTGAAGTAGGGAAACTGTATGGTGCAATACCACTTGCAGGGCTCATTGGCATACCAGGAGGCATATAGAAGGGGTTAAGTCCCGGTTGACCTAGAGGAGTGCGATGGAAATTATTTTCCTGAGATGACATAGAGGCGAAAAATGCTGCAGCATCATTGTACTTAGGCATGATTGGTAGGAAAGAGTTTCCATTTGGCACTATATTGTTGTTAAGCTGTGATGCTACCATGGCGTTTGCCCGTTTTCGCGAAGGACTTCGATCGGGATTAAGAGCTGGATTGTTGGGTTTTATTCGACCCATTTTTAAATTCATAACAAGACACTTCTTAGAGGTCATATGGCTCGAGTATGAGCCGGAGTGGGAGAACTTCTTTCCACAGTTGGCACATTCGAAAGGCTTCTCACCGCTATGTATTCGAAGGTGTTCCTTAAGATGGTGTTTAAATTTGAAAGCTTTGTCGCAGTCGTTGCATTTAAATTTGCGTAATAGTGCACTCTCGTCGTGGCTTATCATGTGCCGTTGCAGCCGGTACACATTCAAAAAGCTCTTGTGGCAGATCTTGCAAGTCTGTTGACAAATAAATAAATAAAACAAGTTATAATGCTATTGTGATACGTAAGTTATTATAAAGTTTGATAATAATTTTTATTTCTAAGTTCCTCTTAAAAATTTATTCTAATAGAGAAAATGTAATATTTATATTTAAATTCGTACGTAAAACAAGAATAGACCAAAACAACTTAAACAAGGAAGTATTTGTAGTGTTTATTTTGGTTATGCAATAGATGAGAGAACGGACTGAATGTTTTAATACAATTGATGATAAATAGTTGTTTGGTATATTACAATGAGCACTGACATATTTGTCTGTATCCACCTGTGTGCTGGGCGAGTGCAGGGTCTCGTGGCGTTCGAGCTGCTCGCGCGTGGGGTACGCGCCGCGGCACTGGCTGCAATGGAAGGGTCCACCGGGCCCCAGCGGGGACCCGCCCCGCTCCTCCTCCTCCTCTAACGGCTTGCCCTCCGTTCCTCCACCCGCAAGTGGACGGACTGTGGAATCGTGTTACTCGTTAGATATTTGATTTTCAACTTCTTGATTTAGGGTTCTATGGTTTCTTACTCAGTGTGACAAACGGGCTAACAGTGTACTTGTTGGTAGCAGGTCTCTTTAGCTATGGACACCTGCAGCCAACTTCCAACCAACGTTCAAACAAAAATTTTGACGGCTCCGTGGCGCAGTGGCTTAGCAATGAGTTACAGCTTAACACTGCTGTGTTTCGTATGATGAGTGTAGAGAACCGGAGATACTTTTTACTGGAAATGAGACAATCCATCTTAGTCCTCACAGGTGAGAACGCATCTGCATTTTGTTTGATGTAGATGTCTATGGGCCGCAGCAACCCTTTACCATCAGGTGGACTGTGTGCTCGTTTGTCATCCTTATCACATAAAAAAAATAGGCTACAAATAATTGTTCCGAGTATGGATTATTGTCCATATTTAAGTGATGGAAGTTGCCGTATGGTAGCGACACAAGAGAATACATTGTCACATACAGAGGTGTCCTAAAAGGCTAGAGAGAAAGAGCCTAAGCTTCAGAGACAGATGTAATCATCCAAAACCATGATTGTGAGTAATGTCACAAGCACGAAACAACTGCGACTGCTAATTAACTAGCTACCTAAATGTGGCGCTTACAATAATTATAACAATAACAGACTCCTACGTCCAGCATTGGATTGTAATAGGCTAATAAATATCATAAAAACTATTATCTGTTAACACAGATGTACAAATGAGTCCATTTCTTTATTAGTCACGTGCTATATAACGTGTACTTAATGTAAGGATATGAGGTAGAAGTAAGAATTAGATGCAGAGAGAGCATTTAACACATGTTTTTTCTACGTTTGTTTTGCAGTTAAAAGTGCTATTAAATATCTCGCTGGTGTTGGCGGAGATCGAACTAGGGTACCATGAAATATAAGGCGATGTTCAAAACTGTCACAGCTATAAAGCCACGTCTCCACCAAAGTTTTGTTGCCAACACGTGTTGCCAACAAATGTTTCTGTCAACAAGCGTCTCCACCGAGGGAACAAATGTTGGCAACAAGCGTATTCCTTTGATGTTGCCGCCGAAAATGGAAACAAACAACAAAAAAGCCAACACAACAGTTGCCAACAAAACTTTGGTGGAGACGCGGCTTTATATCTTATATTAATGAAATTTCACCTTACATATACATATGCGTAACTGAAAATATATGTCAGTACGTTTTAAAATAATTTTATACCCAATAAGCCATGTCGCACAGTTTTAATAAACTGTGGTAACACACACTGTACTCATATTCGTGTAAACGGCAATAAAAGAGGCAATAAAGCCGATGCCCCCGTGTAGCACACGCTTAAACCCAATTTGGAAATAAACAATTAACGAAGCGCTTAAAAATGATCGAGTTCTTAACGGTCAGTACGAAGCAAACATGGCGGCGATATTTCAGTTTGAATTTCGAATTCCAACGCTTGAACAGTTTCATTTGTAAGAGAAAATACAGACATTTGTTTGCAAACGTATGCGCTTATTTTTTGTCTATAATTATCTGCCCCAGCATTTTTATTAAATGTATTAAAAACACTTTATTTCTAAATGATGAAGACGATTCTACGTATTGCTTAATGCTTATTGCTAATAACAACAAAGAATGATAAAGATGCCTATGAATAAAACGATAACTGTACGTATAATAGAACTGTACAGATAATTTGGGGGAGAAATAGAATTTAACAGATAATAGGAGAAGTATTATCACAGAATAAATAATAGGTATTATTTTATATATAAAATAATCACAGTTTTCAAAATAGTCTCCTTATAAATATTTGCTTAATATGCGAAGTAATGGCGGTCTAAGAGAATCCATCATTAATCCGATTTCGTTCTATAAGACGACTATGGGATATGCCAGAGATCTTATGATTTCCAATCGATGGCGGTATAATTGTCTAGTTTACGCCAGGCGAAAAATACCGAGGTTGGCGACAAGAAGCAGCGTTAAAGGGACAAAATGTATGGAACTACGATTGTCAATTCACCTGCCAAGCGCGACCGTTACCAGGCCTATATATCCAGCAGTAGTTTACGAGCAGATGAATGGAGAAAGGTGCAGGGAATTCAAGCGCTTAGGTTTGGATATACGAACAGATGCGATATAAATGTATTGGGCAGCGCGGCTGCAAACACTTCTTTGCCCTAAAATCCTCTCAGAAGCGAGAGGTCTGTGTGCCCAGCAGTGGGAAGTATATAGGCTGTAACTTTACTATGCGATATAAATGACGCTTTTTCTGTTATTAGGCTCTGTTTTTTTGTGTTTATTCATTCAATCATTACAGCCCATCTAAACTAGTAAGTTCAACATACCTAGGCCATCCCCATAGAATACTTCACAGGAGTGATTATTTGCCATAGTAGCGTCGCTTGACAGGTGGGTTAGGGTCTGCACTTTTTTTGATTGAGTTGTTAACGCCACAATATAGGTTTACTTACTTACTATGTGTTTTAATAAATACTAAGTATATGATTTATCTTAAAACGTAGCTTATTCGAGCCAATTTCTTGTTTTTCTACCGACTTCAAAATGGAGACAGTACTGAATTCTATATGTGTTCAATTCTGTGTATGTTTTTTTATGTGTGTTACCTCATAACTTTTTACTGGGTGAACCGATTTCGATGATTCTTTTTTTATTTGAAAGCTGGTGCTCTTCATGTGGTACCATATAAATTTGATCAAGACATGACCAATGGCTTTTGAGTTATTCTTAATAATTTATATTGAAGTCGGTTGTACAAATTTTTCTATTTTAAATTTTTTTTAAATATTTTAAGCCAGCTCTGAACTGCTATCCCACCTGATGGTAAGTGGTGACGTTGCCGAAGACAAAGCGTATCGACTTAAAAGCATTCACTGTTGCATTGAAGACACCTACGTTGTGATCGGATGTAAAGACAGACATTGGCAACTTATTCCACTGAAAAAAAAAACCACTTCAATGTAGCAGTACTTCGAACGTTCTCGTTATTGTTTGTAGCATAGCGGTTCACGCGTAATATCGTTTTTAAAAGCACCGCCGTGTGCGCCGTAAATCAAATATAATAAAGAGCACAACAACGGTGCGACGTATTAATTAGTGCGGGCGTCGCGTCCAATGGAATCCGTGTATTGAATTTTAGGAAATACGAGCTCGTAAACTGCGCGTCCCTAATACGCGAGTGGTGTTCCGCTTGCGACGATAACTGGCCGACGTAATGCACCGATATACGTGTCTAACTTTAAATGTAAATAAATATCATTTAAATTTTAAATATGTATTTATTTATTTTTTATAGAAAAGGGGCCAAACGAGCACGCGGCTCACCTGATGGTAAGTGTTGACCGCCGCCCATGAACAACTGCAACACTAGGGGAATTGCAGGTGCGTTGCCGGCCTTTAAAAAGGATTAAGCTTATTTCTTGAAGGTCCCTAAGTCTCTTGAAGACCGATACAGTCACCGGTTGTAATTAATTGGGCAAAGATATCGTGCGAGGAAGAAAACTTCTTGTACAGTACACAGTATTCTACGTGGTAGAGTCATGTTGCAGCTATAGTATGATTGTAGCACGAATGGGTCGGCTCGACCGGGGAAGGACCACGCTCTCACAGAAAACCAGCGTCAAATAGCAGCTTAACGCTGCTGTGTTTCGTATGGTGAGTGTAGAGAACCGGAGACCCTTTTTACTGGCAAAGGGGCATTCCATCTTAGTCCTCACGGGTGACAACGCATCTGCATCTTGAGTCTTTATTGAGGTAGATGTGGATGTAGATGTCTATGGGTCACAGTAACCACTTACCATCAGATGGACTGTGTGCTCGTTTGTCACCCGATCCTATAAAAAAAAACAGTAGTGGACGGCCAAACATCAAGATAATGTGGATGCTGGATGGTAACGTGAGTTTGGTCACGATGTGCGTTGGTGAAATTTGGCGGCAGGGATTAATCCAAACAATTCCTCAGAGCACTCCAGAGTATATATATATATATAACTTTTTTACCACATATTAGTGGTAACCTTGGTTGTGATATTTAGTCCACTCGAAAAAAAAAGAATAAAACGATTTTCTCAAGGCTTCTGACGTCGATGCTAAGACATTGTATCATAGAACTATAATTTGATTTTCATTTTAGCAAAGAAGCGTAAACACCATGTCATTGAGAACATATTTAATATGAGAATGTCTTGCTTGCTCTGTCAATTAAATGCCTTCATACGGTTGATCTAAAATAGATACTTATAGGTAGTGGTAGAAAATGACATCGACATTTCTCAAGTTACAAGTAAAACTTCCACTCGGATCTAATATTGTAGGTACATAGATACACGTGTTATAACTGTTTATTAATATAAGAAATAAAAAAGATCGTTTTAAGGCGACTTTATTTTCTTCTATAATTCTATAGAAAATAGTACATTAAATATATAATCATATAGTTAGTAAATAGCGAGTTTTTAACAGTTATAAAACAGTAACAAAAATTATATTTAGTTCCGCTACTCTACAATAGATGGCGCTGGTAGTGGTTCAAATGGAACAACTTTAGACACTTGGTTGTTTTTAAAAACATGTTTACGTGCTATACATATTACAATGTTTAAGACCATAACTATGTTTTTACAACTGATATACAATAAGCCTACATTTCTGCTGCGTGTGATAATATGCAACAAAACAATCTAATTAAAATGTTTAACTTAAATTGAAAGCTTGTTCCAAATCCAACATTGTTGCTTAAATTAATGTGTATAAATAATTTTAGTGATTATGTTTCATGTGATTTTGTTTGTTTGTTTGTTTGTTTACAGGAGGTCTAATGAATACATGTTTTGAGGCATTCTTTGGGAGAGGCCGTTGTTCAGCGGTAGACTTGTGAAGCGCTGTAATAGTGATGATTAGGATAATGATAATGATGATGATGAATTTTTTTATTTCCAATAATTATTCAGCTCTTCA